TTACATAATGAATGTTCGATTATTTTATTTACAAAATGTGCAGCACAGCCAATACGACTAAAACCATTACGAAATGATTCACTCATTTTATTCTCATTATCGTTTACAATGTATTTCACTTGATCTTTTGTTAAATCATATGATTGGAGAATTGATTCAGTAAAAATTCGAGCATTATCAGCTGATTGTGTAGCGAAATTATAAGGTTTACATGCAAGAACAAATACAAAAAGACCATGTTATACTGAATATGTATGTAGCGTAACGCCACCACAAGGTACTTTAGTCTTTTGTTCAGCCCAAAAATCAACTGTTATCACAAAATTATTAATTGTTCTTTACGTAGAGTATAGATTTTATCTATTTCTCTACTAACCTAAAGAGAAATAAAACAGCGATAACATTAAAACTATGCAACAACAGATGAAAGAAACAATTTCAATTTACCGTTGTTGAATCAGGAATTACATCATAAATTGAAATAGCTGCACTTAATTGACCAATAGTTTTAAATAAAACGTCAACTAATTCTTTAGATCCATCACCACGAACTAAAGTAAACAGTAAACTATCTAAAGCACAACATTCAGCCAAAGAAAGAATTAGTTTTCGTTTAGTTGAATTAATCAACTTTTTCGAAATATTGTTAGTTTTTGTAAAATATAAATCGATTGATGATTGTGATGATGGTGAAGATTGTTGTCCACATGCTTTGTTGTGTTTATCCATAACATTAGTGCCATCATTTGGTTTCCATACTAAAATACAATGACATTTTAAACAAGATGTAAACTGCTAGGCATGATCATTAACAAATATTTGTAAATAGCCATCCCATTTAACACTTTTTGCATGTCTTGGTTTAACAAATGAAATAGACGAATTTTTTTTTAATCATTTCCAATATTTGTTGTTTGTTGTATATGGTCGTTGTTGCCACATTGAATATCGTAGTGTTTATTTGACTAAATATTTATTTTGGAGCGTCATTGTCGTTGACAAAAAACAAATTACGACTGATATCTATTTGTTGCCTATTGAGATAATAAACAAAGGAGTGGATGAACTGTTATCGAATCAAATTGATACCCATTATGAATTACATAGTAAAAGAAAAAGATAAGTGATTAAAAAAAATCAACTGTTAAAATAAAAATTAGGACCATTATTAACTTTCTATTGTAGTGGCGAAAAGATTGCTGCTTTTTTAGATCTGTTATCATAAACAAAAATAATAAATATAAAGATTCGTAGTCTAGTCTAATTCTTCGTAGTAAAAAACTACCGGGACCAACTTGCAGACCCCTACTCTTGATACCTTTTTAGTCTCTTTCATTACTCAAGGCACGACCAATTAGACCGATACGAACATCCAAAGATGAACTTCCCACGACAGAAAAAAATTTATTTCTTCAACTGAGATTTAAAACACGAAATATTCCCACGCAATCATTCTATCAGCGTCCACGAAATTATCTATGTTAATTTCTTCATGTTATGAAGAATGGGACAATAAACGAAAAAACATTCATAGCAGTCAAACAATTCGCAAACTACACCATACAACAGAAAATTCATCAAAAGGTACTTTAATAATAAATGTTAAAACAACCGAATCAAAAATTGAAATACTTACTTCATCCTAGGCGGACCAATGAACACAAATATTGCTAAAATGAAGACCAATCACAAATCACTTAAAATGAAGTAGTAACTATTCTCAACAAATATGGAGCATATCAACTACATTTATGCATCACTTCCGTCAGGTGTGTCCACTTTTGATTATTCCTTTCCATATCATGAAACCAAATCAAAGCCAAACAACACAATGTGATAAAAGAAAACACTGAGTTGGGCATCACGTATTTCCTGACAACTTTAAAAAAAGCAAACTACCACCGGATAACACCAATGCGAAGAAACAACGCAACTAACATCTATATATAGCATGTGCTTCGGAACAACTCACCCAGAACATACAAATTTACTACCAGATGAAATATCTGCAACTAAAATAGCACAGACTTTTAGATGAAATCAAGCTTTTTTTCACGAGAGATGCTTTCCAAAACAGCTGCTAATTCTAATTACATAGAAAGATCCACACCACAACTTGCATTTCAAGTAGATAAACTAGGTGTTACAATACTACAGAGACCTTCCAACTAAATTATACTTAAAAATTTCTAGTTTACGAAACAAAACTTGAACTACAGTGAACTTGTAAACTTTGTTTTCAAAAATTTTCGAATTTTCATTAGAAGTAGCCATCTCATGACTCTAGTTCCTCAGCTGAAATATCAATGTTATTCTAGAATTTGTTCAAAATTTTATAACAGCATAAGTTGAATAATTCTTATGATTTTATCGAAAATCATTTGAGAATTTCAAGCCATCTGATGATTTTCTTAGCCGAGATGAAATCTAGATTATGGTAGCTGTTATACCCACACCCACCCTATATTAGTTGAAATATTATCAAATAGCGTAGCAAGATAGAGCATCGTTTTCTCTATCAGATTATATAGAAAGAAAGTTTCTTACGGCATACGATAGGGTATTAAAGAGTCACTACCACTACTTTTGATGTGCTCTAAGTATTACTATAGGATTTTGAAATTTGAACCGGACTTAATCAGCCGAATTTTTCACTGGAATATGTACTATATGAAAAAAATTCAGTACAGAATGATAAAGGAATCGATGTACTCGTGACAAAGAAAAGAGTGAATGTGATGAAAAGCCTCATGCTATTCATTGTGTGAGTAATTACTTTATTCTGCTTCCTATTTGTTTTTGTTATTCTTGTATTTAATCATGAACCATACAAATATTGAAAGAGCCAAAAAACTTCTTCTTTATAATTATTTTGATCATTAGCTTTCTTATTTATTATTATACTTTTAGACAACAAATTCATGTTAACTTGTCAAATTAGTACAATGTGACAAACGAAAAGTTCTTGACTGAATTCTTTCGATGACTAGTGTGTGTGTTCCGAACTTCTACTGCTGCTGCTGTTGACGTTGAGTTTCATTCATTCTGTTCTGTTTTGTGAAAACAAAAACAGTATGCATATTTTTGAATTCCATGTAGATAACCACGTTTCAAGCAAAGTTGATGACAGTAACCAGCTTCAGTTTGATAAGGCATGAAAACTAGTAATGTTAAAAGAACAGCAAGAACAATCAGCACTGTCCATGATTTGGTCATTTTCGTTTATGAAATTCAATCTAAATATGACAAAATTAATACTGACATTCTCCATGTTTACCGTTTAATATCGCATAACAAAACTGACATACGATTGTAAGACTATCATCTTTATTGAGGTACTATAGGGTAAAGAGACATTTTTTATCGTCTATTTATAATCAGTTGTCGAAACTGCGGAACATCCAAGGGAGAGAAAGCAAGACGTCAGGAGTGCGCACTTCCATCGTACTTCCTCATACTTCCACGATACTGTCATGGCCCTTATCCATAAGTCAAGGCAACGCTGAGTCATTTGTATATGATCTGCATTCTTGAGTCACATACATGTGACTAGAGCTATATAAATGCTTCATACGTGCTTGTGTGAGTGTGCATTGTTTTATTTCATCATCATACGAATAAAGCAGAACGCTTAACAATGGTGCACTAGCCGGTCTGCTGTACCATTAAGCAGCAGATCGATTAATACAAACACACACCCGGTCAGAATAATTACCTTGTCCAAGATCATTCTAATCGAAAATGTCGTTCACGAAAACATACAGGTTATGGCATCCTGTAGTTACTCATCCTTCCTGTCCAAATTGTGGTTCTGTCCTTCATTTCCCTCGTTCCACTTTTGGTTTGACACTTCGATTCATCACTTATTAATGGCTCCATCGTCCTTCTTGATGATTCCACTATTCACTTGGTTCTTTCTGTTGCTGCTATGTCACGTCTCTTCTGATGGCTCGCCCTGCATATAATTTTTCCTTTCTCGTGTGTTCTCTTTTGCTTCCTGTGTTTTTTTGGTTCTCCTTTTCATTTTCTTTCTCTACTATGTTCAGCAGCAGGTTGAAGCGGAGAGGTGTGATGGCCTTCAGTCATGAGTCAAGGAATCACTGAGCCATTTGTATATGATCTGCATTCGTAAGTCATATACATGTAACTAGAGCTATATAAACGCTTCATACGTGTTTGTGTGAGTGTGTTTTGTTTTGTTTCATCATCATACGAATTGTTAGTTCGCTTCTCGAGCCTGATGTTATTTTATTTATTTTTAAAGGAAAAAAATATATCTTTTCATCGGTCACATGTACATATATAGAGAGAGAAAAGAAAATAACAATTGTGATAAAGAGGAGAGAAAAGGAGGTGATGATTCACCGTTAACATTCCTTCCCTCCCCTATTGCATGTGTGCCCTCACACATGAATGTCATGTTCATATAATTAAAATAGCGTAAAATCTGTCAAATCTTTTGATGTAATTTCAATATGTGAATGCATTTGACCTTGTTTAACGGATGACGAACGAGATTTTGTTCATTTTGATGGATGATCCACACGTTGGATGTCAATAAAATCAGTGTAACGAAAAATATAGACATATATAAATGACATATAATCGTATATATATATATATCCGTTAATGACAAATGGAGAGGCACATTGATTGTCTTTGATCCCACTGTTGGGCATGATGTTTATTCGACTAGTGCACCTAACTCCAAATGTGCACTACCTCCAAATGTAACTACCTAATACACAACGTGAGCTTATATAGGAGAGAGATGGAAGAGAGAAGAGAGAGAAAAGTGAATACAACATCAGAAGAGAGAGGGAAGAGGAATGATATAACAGAACATTACACAATCGTATCTTTCAGATATGAAGAATACGTTTATATATGATGAGATCAAGGAGAGAACAGACATAGAGGAGCCGTATAGTACACGACTGAATGGTGTTACACAATGAGAAGCGCGTAACGACAGCAAGAGAACAAAGTTAAATCATGCATAGACGAACGTAAGAGCAACACAATCCACAAATACTGTGTATCATAGATTGCATGAGAACACACTGAGAAGTACCAGATATCACATAAGCTAATATGCCCATTGGCACAATCAGTGTTAGCATTCATGAGTAATTGAATATTTCCTAGCTGAATCGAACTATAATCAGTTAATATATATATATTGAAATTACTCGATGAATTTGGTGATGTTGTTGGCATATTCTTGAATGATAAATACTAATTAGATAGATGTGTTAACCGCTAATGTACTCGAAAATCCAACATCATTAAGTAAATCACTATAATTAGCGTATCCGTATTACTTTTCGTTAAATCGTTGAAGATTTTTAAATTAATTGTGGGTAAAGAAGGATATATATATATCCATTCTTATGGCATATTAACATGTGTTCGATTAAAATTTAAAAAAAAATTTACGTTCGAATGGATGTTTATCTTCTGTTCAGCTTGTTCACTTGTTTTTATTGGATCTAATTATACAGGTGCATCATGTGCTTCTTTATTATATTGATTTTCATCAATTCAATTTTTATTGTCATGAATGGCACTATGTCATTTAACTTATAATTTTTATAAATAAAAAAATTGACCGAATAATTATTGCTAGAAGATTTATAATATGTAACTAGTTCAAGATAAATCATTTCCAATGATTAATTATCGATATTTGTTTTTGTAGTAGTAATATTTTTACGTTAGTTGATGTTGATGAGTTTGCTATTGACGTGATGCATACGACGATTAGGGTGTGGGTGTGGGTGTGGGCGTGGATGTGAGCTTGAGAGTAAATGAGGATTCTACCCACACCTCCACCCACACCCACCCACACCCAAAAAATAGTTGTAATAGTTTATATTACGTAATTATTAGATATAGTATTTTAAAGTTACTTTTTCATACTTTTTTTACGTGGATCGCTATGAACACTTTTGTAGTACTTTTCATTACTTACACTACTGGCCATAAGTCCCGCAGCATGTGATACTCCCAAACGCTTCGATAGTTTTTCATCAAATTTTTACCAGAGATAGAGCTTAAAAAACTGTGATCATCAGCACCGACCCGAACTTTATCGGCTGAGATAGGATGGAGTTATGATTCAAACAATAGCCACCTCTGATTTTCTGTAAATCAATATTCACAATTTTTATGAAAAATGATCCAGATCGTAGAAGTCTTGTTTAATCTCTAAATTGTTTCTTAGCTTTTTAATGTTAGTCGTTTTTTCTCTAAAAATGCATGTATTTAACATATATTTCGCACGGAGTTCTAAGAAAAAAAATTCATGACTCATTTATTCATTTTTCGTAAGTTTAAAGTTACACAATAGACAAGAAAAAAAGTTTTCAAATGATCCTCAGTAAAGAGTATAATCACCAGACGAAGCGATCCCCGCCTGAATACGACTTTTCATGCTGTTCACAAGATTGAATGCGAGTTCATTTGGCAGCTTCTTCCATTCGTTGTTTATAGCAGCAATCAAATCTCTGTGTGTAGTTGGTCGTCGTTGAGCAATCTTTACCTTGAGTAGAGACCATAAATTTTCAATAGGATTGAGATCAGGACTCAAAGACGGCCAGGGTAGAGTTACAATTTGTCGAGTAGGCTTCCAATTCTTGGTATAGTTCGATCGATGTTTGGGGTCGTTGTCTTCGAGTAAAAACCACTGAGATTCTCCAAAGTGTTTGTGAGCTGAAGGAAGCAGAGCTTTTCGATAGATTTTTTGGCAAAGGAATTCACTGTTTAAGTTGTTCTGGAAACAAAACACTCGTCCAAATCCCTTTGATGATAAACAGCCCCAAACGTTGACTTTTACAGGATATTTGATTGTTCGAACAACTTTTCGCTCACCAGGACGCTGCCAAGTGTACTTTCGCTTAGCGTTGAGCTCAATTGTTGTTTCGTCAGTGACCATTACTCGACTCCAATCGTAATTTTTCATTGATTTAGCCCATGCTAGGCGTTGTTGTTGATGATGTTCGCTAAGGAGAGGCTTTGATAAAGGTTTTGAATACTTGAGGCCAGCATTGCGTAGTCGTCGTCGAACTGTACGGTCACTCACATTAACTTCGTTATTCTGAAGTTCTTGAGCGATTGTTTTGCTCGTTCTGTCAATTTCTGTAAGAGCCATATTGACCAACATTTGATCTTGTTCAATAGTAGTCGTTCGAGGCGCTCCAGGTCGAGAACGATCGGAGAGATCTTTTGTTTCTTTCCAACGATTTAATCAGCGAGTGACGGTGGTTCGATTACATTTCACGATCTTGGCAATCTTGTTGGGACCAAACTGTGGACCATTCTTGTGGGTGGCGAGAAAAACAATTTCGTAGAGTTTGTGCAGTGGTAGAGACATCAGCAAGAGAATTTCAGATAGTGTAGAATGAGAAAATTTCATTATTTTGCTTCCCTTTTTATACTTTTCCACACAAAAGCAATTGTGTGAGACTATGGGCCAATCAATAATTAATAGAAGATGAAGGCGCTTTGCGACATTACATGTGTAGAATCGCGTAGAATTACGAATAATAATTATCCACTTCGTATTTCTGTACCGCAAGATCAATTAACATTAAAAAGCTAAGAAACAATTTAGAGATTAAACAAGACTTCTACGATCTGGATCATTTTTCATAAAAATTGTGAATATTGATTTACAGAAAATCAGAGGTGGCTATTGTTTGAATCATAACTCCATCCTATCTCAGCCGATAAAGTTCGGGTCGGTGCTGATGATCACAGTTTTTTAAGCTCTATCTCTGGTAAAAATTTGATGAAAAACTATCGAAGCGTTTGGGAGTATCACATGCTGCGGGACTTATGGCCAGTAGTGTATTTTTCACTGGGATGATCTATCTATGATTGGTGAAATTAACAACATATTCAAATTCGTATCTTTAATCATTGGGAAAAATTGATGATGGTATGATGCATTTTGAACTAGAAGATTAACTCAAAATAATAAAAAATTTCGCTCTATTCTAACTTCGAAATATATTTAGGGACCGACTGTACTGAAAAGATAAGCAATATCTTAGCAATATTAACATAACTCATACTTTTTCATTTTCAGATAATTTATTCTCAACTTTATCTGTAGTGTCGTTTATCATTTGGACTTATTTGATATAAAAAATGCCATTAAAAAAAACAGAAATTGAAGGAAAAAAAAGCCAACGGAAAGAATCCACTTGAAAAAAATACCAGTGAAAACAAAAAAAATGAGAAAAAAATAATGAAAATAAAACAAGCGAAAATAAACATGCTTTATTATGTGATCTATCTACCTTGATGGAATTAATTGCCGGTCGTAATAGTATTCCTTTTAGTGAATATTCGAAAACTGGAGTAGGCGATGAGGTTATTTACATCAAATCATACCAAACTCGTGGTCGTGTAGCTGTGCTTCTTATTGGTCAACTTGTATTTTTCTTCAACATAATGATTTTTCTATTAAGCAAATTCTTATTACTTATTGAAAACACATAAACACTATTAGGTGTCATACAAAAAATAAGAATTCTATACGCTATGCTTTATCGCTCGAAAATTATTACAAGCCATGCTTATGAGCATGAAAGCACTTATGATAAATTCTTTGAAACTGCAAGTTGAAAAAATTAAAGAAAGAAGTATAGTAATAAATAAAATGTACTTGAGTATTTCTTAATGTTAACTGTGATTGCTTTTCAATACATTGAAACTACATTTTTCCAGCTATTAGAAATAAAGATGCATAATATAGTGCTTAAAAAATATTAAAATGAGTCTACTAAATCTCATCATTGAAGAAAGTAACTCGAATTACCTTGAAAAGCATAATATATGTTTATTATATCTTAAGATTGTACATAATACTAAAATATACTTCAAGGGGTATCAAAAGTACTTATTTTTGCTTTGAAAATATATTAGGTATTATAAAGTACTTCAGAAAATGTCAAAATCTATGAACTAAAATTGAAATCTAAAAATAAGTACTAATAGGTACTTCATAAAATATCCAACTTAACTAAGGCTACTATTTAGAGAATGAAAAGTACAATAAAGTACCTCAAAAAGTACACAAATAATATTATATACTTCGTGACTGAATAAACTGCTATTTAGTATTTCCAAAAAATCAGAAGTATTAAAAATTACTTCTTAATATGCCAGAAGTACTAAAAAGTAAGTCAGAAATTAAAACCATTAATATTATTCACTAGCCAGACAAAAAACTTACTTAAAATTACTTTAGAAAGTTTTCAAAGTCTTTTTCAATGTTTTTTCCAACTCAGAAGTACCATAAGGTACTTGAGGAACTATAGAAAATTAATATTTCTAACTTCACCAAAAATGGTACTTTAAAATACTTTACAAAGTAAAAAAAAGTGCAAAAAATTACTTCAAAAAGTGAAAATAGTACGAAAAAGTACTTTAGTTTACTTTATTAATAATGAAAGTACTAATAAGTTGATGCTTTTCACTTTTGCTGTTACATGGGTAGTTAATTTGATTTGACTTTTTGGCTTTTGGATTATTTTAATTAGAATATTCTGTCTTCAGGCATACACTGCATCAAATGATATTGCAAGTATTATTCGTACAAATTGAAGTACTTTGAAAGAGATTGATGATTCAAAAATAAGACATGTGAAAGAAATGATTAAATCAGTATCTAATTAAATGTGAAGATGATCAGAAAAACTGATAATGTGAATGTATGCAATTTTTCATATAACGTGTTTAGAATAATTATCTAAGTCGAAATACTTTATTTATTTCCTTGAAATTTTTATAACCGTCGATGCTGTTGCTCTTTTTCTCTCGCTTTGTTGTTTTGCAACTATTTCGTTTTCTTTTTCTGTGATATCATGCACTTGAAGGATATTATCTGTGTATAAGATGTCTTCCTTTTCAAAATTACTATACATATCGACCGCTCTTGAAACGAGTTAACAGTATAATTCTTTTTCTCGCGAATTCTAATATGCAATGTGTCAACACATGCAAACAAACATGTAGAGCTGACATGTTTCTTTTTTTGCTTTTGACATTTAAAGAAGAATCTAGTAGAAGAAAATATTTTTCTTCTTCTCATATGAATATTCCATAACGCAGTCAACATAAGAGAAGACAAATAGTATTTTCTTCCGACAAAACTATAAATACACTACTGGAAATACGCATCAGTTTATACTTTGGAGAGATGGTAAAAGAAAATATCATGTATTTGCAACTGTATACTATTCTTATTATCTATGTGGTTTCACCAAATGTGATTGATGCACAAGATTTTTTTCAAGCACAACTATCACCATTGATTCTCACATCCGTACCATATTTAGATGGTGAAGTAGCTGTCTATGAACACAAACAAAACAATTCGCGTCTATTTGTACCACCTTTGGCAACACTTTATCTGAATCAGACACGCGTAATTTATAACCCACTTCTCAAAAGCAATGTACTTCGCCTTTCATTAATCTTGTACACAAATGAATTACGTGAAACTATTTTAAATTATCTATCAAGTTCGAAAAACCGGTGTAATTCCATTTACGAAAAATGTGATATTAAAATGGTACCCATTGAACGCCTTCGCATTATATGGAAACGTACTGATCATTTTGCATCTGACTATAAATTAGATACCAGTTGGCTATCGAACACAGCACTTCTGAATAAAATTGATGTCCATATTAGATGTTTAACAAATGAAACATGCTCTACGTTAAAGAAAAGTGTTTTAGAAACTCCAGAAATATTAAATGGCTTAGAATTAGAATATAGTACACGAACTGAAAAGCAAACACGTAAACTAGTTACCATTACGGGTCAACATGTTATGAAAACGCAAATGTATTCAGAATTAAAACAACTACCATCATCAACTGTTGATAGTAACATACGTTATCTGTTTATTGATGATATGAATCAATTTATAACTGAAATATTCACGACAGTAGAATTGGAAGAAATAAAAGATTCAGATTATATGGCACACGATGATCAAAAAGCATTAAAAGAACTCTTAAGACAATCTCTTTCTTCAAACTTAGAAACTTTAAGTGATCATTCAGAACAACAATGGAATTTAGTGTATTGGAAGTTCGATAGTATACGTCCAGATCGTATCATCCATCTATTAAATGATGAATTGAAACAATTGCAAAATAGAACAACCGATACAGATAAAAATACAAAGTCAAAAATAAGTGTTGGTGATCAAGATAACAAAGTTCTGAATAACATATCTGATAGTGAAGCAAATAAAAGACGCAGTACCATTTCTAGATCTCGTTCAAATTATGAAATTCATGAATGGTGTGATGCAATTAGTAAATATAGTAATCCCAAGCATAGTAGAAATACTTTATGCAGAAAAACACACACAATTACAGATGGATTATCGTTGTGTAATGAACAAAATTGGTATCATATAGCCAGTCTTGATCGGCAAGCAACAAATAGTGATAGTGAAGCAGAACAAGATGAACAGTCTTTCCAAGATTTAAGACAAAAGAATTTTGATTTCTATACGAATAATCATCAATTTATTGAATTTACTGGTGAAAAGTTCGTTGCCAAACCTGTTAAAGCTTACAAAGTGAATCTAGCTTTCTTTCAAGGACATACAAAATTTGTACACAAAAGCATCATCGTATCCCATATGGAATTGATCCATGCTGTACCAATTCGAATTCTGTCATTATCATCAGATGCAGTAATTACAACGGTACCAGTCACTGATGCCTGTACAAATGTGTTTCAATGGAAATTACTTGAACTGAATAGAACCCTAAATCTGAATTTTGAACTTGCAATGCATCAGTTAAACAAACAGCTTGCAGAACTCCGATCATCAATCACAGCAAGCGAAACCATTAGTAAAAACTTAGAAAATCAAATGAACAAACAATACACAGAACTTACATCAATAATAACAACTATGAATAATCGATTGTCGTCCCATTTAAATGAACATCGGCGTAAGTTCATGTCAAAAGCTTTTAATCATTGAGATAGTAGCAAAATATAGATTTTTATATGCCACTTTATATTCATATGGAGAAGTACATAGCCACTGTTGAATACTTTGTAAACGATGCAAACATTCAAGAACACTCATATGCTTTGCCAATGAAAAGGTCTTATCAGGGTGCAGGTTTGGAAAATACTGAATGATAACAGGCATAAGTGCAGGCAAACTCACACTCTCTATTCCTGATTACTAACAGTAAGATATTCAAACCATCAAGATACAATTCTATCACCACATTTGTTTAAAACTATGAGAAAATAGTCATTTTTTGAGAACATTTTACTAAAACGATTAGAATAGTAGTAAGTCGCAGCGAATAGAAATCCTCAAAAATGACATATACGATCAGAAAAAATATCTCATGAAATGTAAGCGAAATGAAGAGCTCATTTTCATTGACATCACTGTTTATTTCTATACTGTACTTTTGTTTCATTTCAGTACCACTACCTACAAGTTTAGTTGATATTCATCCGAATACAACATGGTCAACGAATGGTATCACTGTTGCTGGAGGAAATGGATTAGGCAGTGGAATTAATCAACTTTATTGGCCATGGGGTTTGTACATCGATGACAATGATACGATTTATGTCGCTGATTACTATAATCACCGCATTGTGGAATGGAAACCTGGTGCAACGAATGGCACAGTAGTTGCTGGTGGAAATGGACAAGGAAATGGAGCTCATCAGTTATATAATCCATATGATGTGATTATGGACAAAACGAGCGATAGTCTCATCATCTCTGATAACGGTAATAGAAGAGTAGTTCGATGGCCTCGTCGAAATGGTACCCGTGGAGAAACGATGATTTCAAATATCGGTTGCATCGGTTTGACAATGGACGATAATGGTTATCTCTATGTTGTTGACAATGAAAAACACGAAGTAAGACAATATAAAATGGGTGAGACTCAAGGCACGGTGGTTGCAGGTGGCAATGGACAAGGAAATCGTCTCGATCAACTCTCTTATCCTCGCTACGTATTTGTCAATCGAAATCATTCGGTTTATGTGTCTGAATATGGAAATCATCGTGTAATGAAATGGAAAGAAGGTGCAAAACAAGGTATTGTCGTAGCCGGTCATCAAGGACATGGAAATAGTCTTGTACAATTGAATTATCCTTATGGAGTCGTTGTCGATCAATTGGGTACTGTCTATGTGGCTGATTGTCACAATCATCGAATCATGCGTTGGTCAAAAGGAACCATACAAGGAAGTGTTATTATTGGTAGAAACGGTAAAGGAGCAGAATCAAATCAACTTGATAGTCCTGTAGATTTATCATTCGATCGATATGGTAATCTCTATGTCGTCGACAATAACAATCATCGAATACAAAAATTCAGCATTGAATTAACTCACTTCTTATGATTTTCTTTTTGTTTCGTTCTCTTTCAAATAAATCATGATTAAATGAAAATAGCTTTTCAAGCTAGTCAATTTTCCCGCGTACACGTGGTAAGATTCATATCATTCGTACCTACTCCCGCGTATGGTCATGTGTCACTGAGTCTGAGAAGCCTCGCCGTGTGCGACGGGCACAAAGATCGTTTCTGACCAGAAGTTCTTCACACAAGGTAAAACCTTAACTCTCAACTAGCATAGCACTTCTCTCTGGCTTGTCTCTATTCAACTTAAGGAAAAACTTGCACTGAGTGATTAACGTTAGATAATGATCCAGTGGATTGATATTGACAACTAAAAAAAGCGAAAAACAATAATGGAAGTTCTTACCACCCTTCGCATATTAATAGACAGAGATTGTGGGTGTGAATGTGGGATGTGAGTGTACGTTTAGTAATAAAGGAGCACACCCACATGCACACACCCTACTGAACTAATTAATGTTTGAATTG